TGTCACTGGGAGCCACCGCAGTGAGGGGTGGTGACAGGCTGTGCTTGGGCGTTGCAGGGGCATGCCGGCCGTGCAATGACACCGAGATCCTGATGGCCATTTGCACTAGTGACTTTGGTGAGTGCAGCCCCCCCCAGGTGCTGGAGGGGGTCTTGGGGCTCCGGGGAGGGCGGGAGTTCTACCCCAGTGGAGCAATGGTTCTGCAGATGGCCCTGGCCTCCCCATCCCAGGCTGACCAGGCTTGGGCTGTGGCCATCAGTGTCACAAAGGCCAATGTCAGATGGGGATGGGGACAAGAGTGGGGTCAGGGATGAGGATGGGGACAAGGATAGGGATGAGGAGTAGGATGGGGATGAGGACAGGGAGAGGGATGGGTGTGAAGACAAGGATGAGGATGAGCATGAGGACAGGGATGGGGATGGGAACAGGAATGGGGATGGAAATGAGGAGGAGGAAGGGGATGGCGTCGAGGATGAGGATAAGAACAAGGACAAGGATGGGGATGAGGACAGGGATGGAAATGGGAACGGGGATTAAGATGGACATGAGGATGAGGACAGGGATGAGGATGACGACAAGGATGGGGATGAGGACAGGGCTGGGGTTAGGGCTGGGAACGGGGATGGGTATGGAGATGAGGATGGGGATGGGGACAAGGACGTGTACAGGGACATGCTGACACCCCTCCCTGTCTTCCCTCTGCAGTGATCCGCGGCAGCATCCGGAGCGTCTCCAACGATGTGGAGCTGCAGGAATCCGTCATTGGGGTGAGCGCCACCCGCATCCACCGCCAAAAGTTCCCCCTTTTCCAGGCAGGGTGGCCGGGGCGGCCGGCAGGCAGCATTCGCACCCCGCTGCGCTGTGGGGTCAAGCCGGGCCCCGGAACCTTTCTCTTCACGGGGTGGCTGCATTTTGGCGAAGCCTGGCTGAGCTGCGCGCCCCGCTATAGGGACTTCCAGCGCATCTACGAGGAGGCACGGCGCACGCGCCAGAACCCCTGCGAGTTCCCCATGGACTGAGCAGGTCGGGGAGGGCAGCCTGGCCCCATGGGTGCTGGGGGGCTGGGGTCCCACAGGCAGCGAGAGCGTCCCCGGGGGACACACATGGGGCAGCTTGCCGGCAGGGATGGTGCCTGGAGGGACTGCGGTGCTTTGGTCCTTGCTGCG